AGAGCAATTGGTCTATAAGAATTAGAGTCACGGGGATCCTTACCTGATTTTAGTAATGGAATTACTATTTGTTTGTTCCATGACTCAGGGATGATGCCCTGTTCAAAGAATATGTTGACTACTTTTAAGAAGTAGTGTTTGATTTTTTCAGTAGAATTTACTAAAAACGAGTAGGGAATACCATCGACTCCTGGCGAAGAGTCCTTAAGACCGCATAAAGCAGTCTGAAGCTCATTAAAATTAAATGGTTTATCCATGGGGTGACTAGAATGGAGGACGAGATACGGACAGAGAGGGAGACAATCTATAGGAGGAACAAAGGGTGGAGCCAGTTTATCTGCAAAAGTGTCCATCCATTCTGCGGGGTTATTTGAAGTCGGATTGGGACGGTCGGAAGCCCTGCGGAACCTCTTTATTTGTTTCCAGACTTTAGAAGAGGGGGTGCCAGGCGCCATTTCCTCACAGAACCTCACCCAGCTGTCTCTCTTTTTCTTGGCAAGGAATTTTTTTGTCCGGGCATCTGTCTGTTTGTACTGCAAATAGTTCTCCATTGTCATGGACAGATTATATTTTTTTTCCATCTCCTTCCTTTTTCGAATCACGTCAGTACATTCAGCATCCCACCAAGGTGGGTGTTTTTTCCTAAATGAACGGTTTTTTAGGGGGATGTGTTCATCTGCCGAGGAGATCATAACTTCTACTAAGGATGAATAGGCAGAGAGGCAGTTGTCCTGGGATATATCCGGTAAGGATGCTATTTTGACTTCAGCTGTTGCAGAATATGAAGACCAATCAGCTTTATTTAAGTTATACTTTAAAAGAGGAGGATTCGTATTATGTGGGTTGGAAGAGTTGGAAGGCAAAGAGATTACGATGGGGAAGTGGTCACTGCCAAATGTACTGTAGAGAATGTCCCAATTAAATTGTGAAGCCACATTTGGAGAACAAACAGTAAGGTCCACCGCACTGAAGTTCTGAGATGGGGAAGTCCGCCTAGTAGGCCGGCCAGTGTTAATGACACATAGGTTCTCTTGGTCAAAGAGATCAAGAAGAAGAATGCCAAAGCTGTTTGATTGTTGAGATCCCCAACAGGTGTGGTGGGCGTTGAAGTCACCCATTAGGGTGATTGGCGGTGGAAGAGCTTTAATGATTGACCGAAGCTCTTGAATGGAGTCAGCGTTAGGGTGAGGAATGTATATTGAGGCAAAAGAAATGCCAAGGACTTTCACTGCCACTGCATTAATTCGATCTGAATTATGGGGGGGAAGAATTAAATTTTCATAAACCAAAGACCGTTTTACCAGAAGGGCGCTTCCCGCCCATCCATCACTCCTGTCATCCCGAAGGCATGAGAACCCAGAGACACTAAAGTGCCTGTCTGGGTTTAACCATGTCTCCGATATTGCAAGTAATGATGGAGAGAATTTATTGATCAAGTATTTCAAGTCTGACACTTTGCTTTGAATGCTTTTACAATTCCATTGTATAATGTTCAGAGCCATTTTTATTTAAGTTATTTAAAAGAGGTAAGATCTTAGAAGCAACGTTGGGCGGTAAGGGGACATCACTATATTTGGACAAAATGTTAGCTACTAATAACCACAGCAGGTCCAAGTAGTCATCATTAGGAGAATCATGTGAGGGAAGTGCAGAGTTGCCTTCTGTATTACCTAATGCACAGCCATTAGGAAGAGTTGATGAAGGGCTACTTATAATATTTTGGTGAGCTAATCTGTCACATGACCTGCCTAGGGGAGTCCTAGACCGTGCTTGACGATAGATAGTTTTTTTGTAGGAGGTAGGCTGTTTGCTTTGTATGCTGGGGTTTGGTGAGCCCGGTAATATTGGTAAAGAGGGTAAAATAGATTTAGTAGAGTCAGCATAGGATCTTTTCACCTGCGGATAAAGCTGAGAGGCTTCATGAAAAGACATATTTTCCTGTGACATGCTGATTTTAATGGATTTTTGCCTTGAGTGTTCTGGGCATGACTTGTTTGTAGCAAAATGTCTACTGGAACAATATAGACATGTAGCCTTCTCTTCAGGAACCACACAGGTTTCACCTGCATGGGGTTGGGCACAACGGAAACATCTGGGCTTTGAACGGCATTGAGCTTTAACATGACCAAACCTACAGCAGTTGTTGCACTGTATAGTTGGTAGTAGGTAGTTTTCAACAGGAATTGATGTGTAAAAAGAAAATATTCTTTTAGGTAGACATTGGCCCCTAAATGTGAGGACCACAGATTGGGATGGAACCCAAGAAGTCTTGTCATCAACAATTTGTTTACGGTTCAGACGTCTTGCTTTTAAGACAATACCACAACCATCTGGAACATCCAAAGACTCCACAAGTTCTTCCATACTTAATTCTGTTGGAATTCCCTTAATCAGACCCATACGGGTTACATTGTAGGTTGGAATCGTAACCACATATTTATTCAGGGCTAATAGGGGATTATTTGAGAATGTGTTGGCATCTTGGTATGATCGAAATTCCACAGAGATGCGATTGCGTCCAATTTTTTTAATTCCATCTTTGACTATACCTTTAATTTTGTTTTTTGTCAAAAATCTGCCAAATATAAGAGGTCGGATAGAAGAACCAGTAGAGGGGGAGGCCTCATTAATTGATACATGTACAATAAAGGGCCCTTTATCCAAATTAGAGTACAATTTAGGTGTATCATTAAGAGAGGGGTGGGTATACAGAGAATGATTGGCTTCTTGCGATTGTTGTGATTCGGTAATGAGAGTTTTTCTAATAGGCTCGGCCTCTGCTTCTAGGTCGAGGCGTCTTTTACGTGGCGTGCCTGTTTGTGTGAACAATGGGGGAGACTGATCCATCGGAGTCGGAGATCGCTCCTCATCCGGAGGATCTGGTGGGTCGGGAGGTACCCTATCCATCGCTCACGACGCAAGCGATGGAAAGGGTAGGAAAAAAGAAGTTATTGTGTTACTTACCAATAAAAACAACACAAGGATACACTTACTACCACCACTGCTAAAGATAAAACAGCTTATACTGTGGAGAAAGTACCACTAAACTGCTGAAAATGTCAAAATCCCATAAACACGTGTATTAACCAACACTCGCGAGAACGGAATCTCGAATTCGTCTTTATTCTTTAGAATAACGTTTGTGTAGTTGTCTATTTATCCATTTTTCTATTGCAAAAACACAAGTGTTTTTACAATCAATCAAATCAAAAACTCTGTTTAGCCGTTTTTGCGTGATTGAATAACAAAGATACCCTCACATAGTTCACATCAATAAAGGATGGACAGCTCTGTTACAAATGATGGGGCGGTTATCCGACCAAGCGGTGGCACCAAATCTAGGTTGACTGCAGTGACTAACAAATGAATGATGATGGTAAATAAGTATAGCCAGAGCTTCTGCCCGCGTCTTCGTCTATGTTACAGTTACTTCTTGAGAATCCCACAAGAACCTTACGTTTTTCCAGGATGGTAAGTATCCGATCTCTCAACCCTGGTAATAAACTATTCATCCAAATCCGTTCAGCCGTTTTAGTACAAACTTTCATATTCTATCTAAAATAATATAAACTGGCGTCGGAAAATCTCTCAGAAACCTTAAATTTTTTCCGAACTAAAAGTTTCTTATCCTGCCCCAATCTAGGTAATAACTATAATGTGTCAAATTTCATACAAATCCCTTCAGCCGATTTCGTGTGATTCAGTATTAAACGTTTGTATGTTTGTGTAAAAAACTTTTACATCCATACTAATATTGTGAATGCGAAAATGTGTCTGTCTGTTACCCTAGCGCTTTAAGCCCGGAACTAATTTAGATGAGATGATAATTTTAATCCCAGAAACCAACGTTTAAGGGAGTGGAAGTTCCTTGGGAAATCAACTTTTCCACGCAGTCGTGCCCATCCACTAGTCTTAAGAATTTGTTCAGTTGTTGAGATACAGAATTATGAGACGCAGCCATCAACCCCCTCTACTAGTTTATAGTGATGTGTTATGCCCTATTTAAGTAAGTCCCCTTGGCTTTGGATACTCTAAATACACTGGACAGCAAAAAATCGTTTATTCCTAGTCGCCACCCCCAGAGATTGCCACCGGTGGGCCACACTTGCTATTTTGAAACCCCGATTTGATTTTCTATAAAGTAAAAAACTTAACTAAGAGTATTTATCCTTGGGTACAGAACCCTAAAAAAAACGATAATCATACAACTAAAAATTGAGCAAAATCATTAGGCATTGTTTCTTGCTTGATTGCAAAATATTAAGAGAGCTAGAATTAATTTATGAAACATACTTTCTGTAGACAAGCTTCTTGTCATAGTTTATAGTCCAGTCAGTATTGTCGCGAAATCCGTTTTTCCTCAAACAGCTGGAACTATGCTAAAAAGTTTCTTAAGATAGTAAAGAACACTTTACATAGAGAAAAAAATGTTTCCAACCCCGGGCAAGGGTGAAAACCACCCTTAATAATCTATTTTTCCAATTATCTCAAAAAGTATACGAGATACGGAAAAAAACTTCAAATGAAAATTGTAGATCTTTTTGAAATCTACAAAACATTATTCCACCCTCTTGCCCCTATTTTCAATAGGGGAGCCAATAATCGAAGTCAAAGATTCAATACTTAAAAAGTTAAAGTTAGTTAAAAAAGTTATCTTTGACTTCGATTATTGGCTCCCCTATTGAAAATAGGGGCAAGAGGGTGGAATAATGTTTTGTAGATTTCAAAAAGATCTACAATTTTCATTTGAAGTTTTTTTCCGTATCTCGTATACTTTTTGAGATAATTGGAAAAATAGATTATTAAGGGTGGTTTTCACCCTTGCCCGGGGTTGGAAACATTTTTTTCTCTATGTAAAGTGTTCTTTACTATCTTAAGAAACTTTTTAGCATAGTTCCAGCTGTTTGAGGAAAAACGGATTTCGCGACAATACTGACTGGACTATTATGTGAAAATTGAGTTCCAACGCTTTCCAATCGTAGGTACTAGCGGGTAAAGTGGTTTATTTGCTGTTGTATTTTAGCTAATAACAAATTAGAGTGGCACGTAACCAAGAAATTATCTAGAGTAGGTGAATAAAAAAAAAACGATTTGGAAGTCTACAATCAATCTTATTTATTTCTTCAGTAAGTGGAATGATTACAATTCTCGTGAGTCAAAGATATAGGTAGATAGAATTTAAATATAATCAGAATTAAGTTTGTTGAAAGCATAGTGGGAAATTAGCAACCACCACGGAGGCGGAGAACCAAGTGCAATGTAGATTCTTTCTGGATATTGTAGTCGGATAGTGTGCGTCCATCTTCAAGTTGTTTTCCAGCAAAGATAAGACGCTGTTGGTCTGGGGGAATACCTTCTTTGTCTTGAATTTTGGCTTTGACATTCTCAATAGTGTCCGATGGTTCAACTTCTAAAGTGATAGTTTTGCCAGTAAGAGTCTTGACAAAAATCTGCATGCCACCACGAAGACGCAAAACCAGATGAAGGGTCGATTCTTTTTGGATATTGTAATCAGATAGGGTGCGGCCATCTTCCAGTTGTTTACCAGCAAAAATCAGTCTCTGCTGGTCTGGGGGGATCCCCTCCTTGTCTTGAATTTTGGCTTTGACATTCTCAATGGTGTCTGATGGCTCAACTTCAAGGGTGATTGTCTTACCAGTCAAGGTTTTTACAAAGATCTGCATACCACCACGGAGACGCAGTACAAGATGTAAGGTAGATTCTTTTTGGATGTTGTAGTCAGATAGGGTACGGCCATCTTCCAGCTGTTTACCAGCGAAAATCAGTCTCTGCTGGTCTGGGGGGATCCCCTCCTTATCTTGAATTTTGGCTTTAACATTCTCAATAGTGTCTGATGGTTCAACTTCTAAAGTGATAGTTTTGCCAGTAAGTGTCTTGACAAAGATCTGCATGCCACCACGAAGACGCAAAACCAGATGAAGGGTCGATTCTTTTTGGATATTGTAGTCAGACAAAGTGCGTCCATCTTCCAATTGTTTTCCAGCGAAAATCAGCCTCTGCTGGTCTGGGGGGATCCCCTCCTTGTCCTGAATCTTGGCTTTGACATTCTCAATGGTGTCTGATGGCTCAACTTCAAGGGTGATTGTCTTGCCAGTCAAGGTTTTTACGAAGATCTGCATACCACCACGCAGACGCAGAACAAGATGCAAGGTAGATTCTTTCTGGATGTTGTAGTCAGATAGGGTGCGTCCATCTTCCAATTGCTTTCCAGCGAAAATTAGCCTCTGCTGGTCTGGGGGGATCCCCTCCTTGTCTTGAATCTTAGCTTTGACGTTCTCAATGGTGTCTGATGGCTCAACTTCAAGGGTGATTGTCTTGCCAGTAAGGGTTTTAACAAAGATCTGCATACCACCACGCAGACGCAGTACAAGATGCAAGGTAGATTCTTTCTGGATGTTGTAGTCAGACAAAGTGCGTCCATCTTCCAATTGTTTTCCAGCGAAAATCAACCTCTGCTGGTCTGGGGGGATCCCCTCCTTGTCCTGAATCTTGGCTTTGACATTTTCAATGGTGTCTGATGGCTCAACTTCAAGGGTGATTGTCTTACCAGTCAAGGTTTTTACAAAGATCTGCATACCACCACGGAGACGCAGTACAAGATGTAAGGTAGATTCTTTTTGGATGTTGTAGTCAGATAGGGTACGGCCATCTTCCAGCTGTTTACCAGCGAAAATCAGTCTCTGCTGGTCTGGGGGGATCCCCTCCTTATCTTGAATCTTGGCTTTAACATTCTCAATAGTGTCTGATGGTTCAACTTCTAAAGTGATAGTTTTGCCAGTAAGTGTCTTGACAAAGATCTGCATGCCACCACGAAGACGCAAAACCAGATGAAGGGTCGATTCTTTTTGGATATTGTAGTCAGACAAAGTGCGTCCATCTTCAAGTTGTTTGCCAGCAAAAATCAGTCTCTGCTGGTCTGGGGGGATCCCCTCCTTGTCCTGAATCTTGGCTTTGACATTCTCAATGGTGTCTGATGGCTCAACTTCAAGGGTGATTGTCTTACCAGTCAAGGTTTTAACAAAGATCTGCATACCACCACGGAGACGCAGTACAAGATGCAAAGTAGATTCTTTCTGAATATTGTAGTCAGATAGGGTGCGCCCATCTTCAAGTTGTTTGCCAGCGAAAATCAGTCTCTGCTGGTCTGGGGGGATCCCCTCCTTATCTTGAATCTTGGCTTTTACATTCTCAATAGTGTCTGATGGCTCTACCTCTAGAGTAATAGTTTTACCAGTCAAGGTTTTAACAAAGATCTGCATACCACCACGGAGACGCAAAACCAGATGAAGGGTGGATTCTTTTTGGATATTATAGTCAGATAGGGTGCGGCCATCTTCAAGCTGTTTTCCAGCAAAGATCAGACGTTGTTGATCTGGCGGAATACCTTCCTTATCCTGAATCTTGGCTTTGACATTTTCAATGGTGTCAGATGGCTCAACTTCTAGAGTGATAGTTTTACCAGTCAAGGTTTTAACAAAGATCTGCATACCACCACGCAGACGCAGTACTAGATGCAAAGTAGATTCTTTCTGAATATTGTAGTCAGATAGGGTACGCCCATCTTCAAGTTGTTTGCCAGCGAAAATCAGTCTCTGCTGGTCTGGGGGGATCCCTTCCTTATCTTGAATTTTAGCCTTAACGTTTTCAATTGTGTCCGATGGCTCAACTTCAAGTGTAATAGTTTTGCCAGTAAGGGTTTTAACAAAGATCTGCATACCTCCGCGAAGTCGTAGAACAAGATGTAAAGTGGATTCTTTTTGAATATTGTAATCTGACAAAGTACGGCCGTCTTCCAACTGCTTTCCAGCAAAAATCAGACGCTGCTGATCTGGGGGGATACCTTCTTTGTCCTGAATCTTAGCTTTAACGTTCTCGATAGTATCTGAAGGTTCGACTTCCAAGGTGATCGTTTTTCCAGTCAAAGTTTTCACGAAAATCTGCATTATGAATCTGCAACAATGAAATAGTTTGTTATGAGAAGTTTGAGAAGGAGAAAACTATTAATTTTAAGTGGGAATTGCTAAAAACTTGTACTGCAGTAGACAAAGAACAAAGAACTTTCGCGATCACAAAATGGCGTCTTTGTGTGACAAAGTCACGCTAACATTAGTCATAGTGCATTCACAGCTAAAATTAAAACTCTTTGTTGATACTTACAAGGACTAGGTACTCGATTGAAGATAAAACACTTTGAAAGTATATTTATGGAAATGGAGAACACAAAAACAATTAATAGAAAATTTTACTCAAACAATCGTAAAATCTACGCTCTTGTATTCTTGAACTCCCTTCGCTGACTTTTTGACAATTAAATCAGCTGTCATTTACCACAAACTTATATACCCACATTCATAACACTGGCAACATTGTGCCATTACTGCCAACATACCGTTTTCTGTATTCATAGATCCTCTACGGACTATCCAGTTTGCTAGATCGTATACTCCATATCTTTTATGTGTATAACGATTTAGAGGTATAGCGCTCTCCCGCACGCTGGATCCAGCATCTAAAGCCAGAAACATATTAACGTGTCGTGGCGAGGCGCGCCAGAAGCACTTCGTTTTCATACATTTACTATGGTTAGAGACATGACATATTAGTGCCGATTCTAGCGTGATTCTCTAAACTTAAAACTAAATTTAACATTAGTCTCTCCTTCTCATTCTGTATAGATAATGACGAGGATACAATGATGTCGATTCTGACATGATTCTCTAAAGCTAAACATAAATTTGACAATGGTGCGTCTTTGTCATTCTCTATACAGAATGAAAGAGAAAGACTGATTCTTTAAGTTAGCATTGATCGAAATGTTTTATTTATATGTTATCGTTAGTAATATTATTTATTGTTAAAAAATTATTAAAACTTTCGTTTCATTATAGTTTTTTTTAAATAATCGAAGTTAATTCTAACTGTGTTAAAAAATTAAATATAAATATGGATGAAGGTACAAACACTGACTTTGGTTTTTTAATACTGAACTTAGCGCACTCTGCTCGTGCATTTGAAAACTAATTCATGTTCCAATTAAGCATCAGCATAATTCGGCATTGTGCGCCACTGAGTCGCATTATGCTCTGTAATTGGAAAACCACCCGTGTTTGCACCCACGACATCAGGACTGTCTTTGTAGACCATGATAAGCATAACTACAAATAGTAAACACAAATAGCCAAGTGAAGTGCCGGCATAATTTGCTTATACGTGAAAATATAGATGTAACACAACCGATTTAAAACGTTTTAAACCAAATGTTGCCGTTTTAGACCCCAAATAAATCGTTTTAAACGGTGGAAAACTGGCATACAAAAATAAAAGAACTATGTTTTTGAAGTTATACTTCTTTAGGCGCATTATAAAAAAATTATGAGAGTGAAATTTTAAGATGCGCGCGCATCTGTAACACAAAAAATTAACACCATGAAGTTCATGTGCCGCGCTGCCATTACCGCGTCGCCAGCTGTGGTCGCCCGCCGCACCGTACGCATGCGCGGCCACTCGCGGTCCTAGCGCGGGAAACACGTACAACAAACATCGGGAAAAGTTACGAGTTTTGAATTTAGAACAGAGACTGTTTTCATATCTATATATATAAAAATGAAACCCGTTTTCCGTTATCACGACATAACATGAAAACGGCTTGACCGATTTGGCTGTTTTTTTTTTGTAGTTTTCTAATACTCTGTACAAGGTTCTTACGGAAAAAAATATAAAGAAAATCCCAAGGGGATAAAATAAGGAATGAAAGTTTGTATGAAACTTTATCAATTTTAAACCGATCGGGCTGAGACTTTGCATGCAGGTATAAGAAGAATCATAGATGAATGTCATTGTGTATAATACAAGCCTGAGAACAAAAACTGTAGTCTACACTTCAGCTCTACACCGAAGCGAAGCGAGGGCGGGCCGCTAGTTTATAATATTTATCCACATGTTTCTAGTTTGTATATTCGGAATACGTGTTTGAGTTTCATACAAGTGCAAATCACATATGTTCTAATAAATTATATTCAGTAGCGATTTTAATTGAATATTTTGATTATTTATTTATTTTTTCAAATTAAAACTGAACTTTATTGACTGTGTCCTTTTCCAGACTTTTTATTAATTTATTGTAATTAATTATTTGCATGCAATTAAAAACTAATTTTAAACGATGCCAAAGAAGGATAACTTCTCACGCGCCTACATAAGTACACGCACCCATTTTTTACACTTCATTATGGTCATTTTATTTTAATTTTTTACTAGTTCTTTATTTACAGTTATCATAAATAACAAACCCCTATGATAAAGATACAAAAACTACATGCGAACGTACCTACAATCAGGGGGTCACTTTTAAAAGCACATTTTGACATATAGAACAAGATACATAGATATGTTAACTGTTAAAATGGGCTTGTGACCTGACTGTACATGATGTAGTTATTGTCAGCAGACTCCATCCATGCCCCAACCTATCCCCTGTTATATTCGCGCCTGAGAAGTGTGCGTGCGCGGCGCGGGCAGCCGGCAGTTTATGTATGTGCATGTGTGTTTTGCGTCCAGTAACGACGAGTGACGTCAACGAGAGTGCGAGAGTGTGTTTGGTTTTTAACCGAATGAAATTGATCGAATTGATTTATATCGTTTGAAAACAATATATTTTTTTTATTTACTAACACAGTTTTTAACTTATGATAAGAGTTTTTATAACTTAGGTAGGTAATACTTATGCGTGGTCGCGGATGGACCATCTAGAACTAAACTCGCTAAGTATATCAATATCAGTAAGTATATCACACATTTAAAAAATCTTAACTCCGTTATATTCCTACCTCGGTAAAATCAAGACAATGGTGCCAATTCTGGCGTGATTCTCTAAACTCAAAACTAAATTTAACATCAGTCTCTCCTTTTCATTTTGTATAAAGAGTGACAAGGATATACTGCTGTCAAATTTAATTTTAGGTTTAGAGAATCATGCTAGAATCGACACCAATATAGTTATAATTAAGAAAAACATAATCATCAACACCAACCGTTTTAAATCAAAAAAAAAATATTTATTTCGGTTTTAAACGGTTTTTTTTCGTTTTAAACGGATTGGTTTAATTGGTTTTAAACCGGCCTTACATCTATACGTGAAAACCACGAAACTTATTATTGGCTAGTAGTTAATCATATTAAATACTTAGATTAAAACAAAAAGGGCAGATACGGCACTAGCCTCACAAAAGTGATCCGCATGAATTGTGGTCCTCGACCCTAATCGTTTTAGTCACAATTTGACGTACATGTGAACGCCAAAAAGAAATATTGCTAATATTTTGTGTTTCTATGATAAAATAATGCCTAAGTGTGTTTTTAAAAAGTACTCAAATTGCTCAAGAACTAAAAATAAAACCCACGGCATCACTTTTCATTCGTAAGTACTATATAATATATTTTTACATAAAAATTGCTGTTTGTTTTGAATCTTATTCGGTAGTGACGTCGAGTACTGGTCGCGTGATTGGTCGGTAGTGCAGTGTCGCGGATCTCGCCGTCTCGTTCGCGCTACCGTTGAAACTTAACGTGCTGTTTCGTTCGGGTCGGTAATGCAGTGACGCGGATCTCGCCGTCCCGTTCGCGCTGACGTGGGATCAGTTTTTGTTTGATGGAAGTATGAGCGTACCGTATCTACCCTTTTTGTTTTAATCTAAGATTAAATACCATGTTTAAATAACAGCTGTAAGTTTTCCGAAGGACAAAAAACGAGCGAGCCTTACAGTAGTCGCATATGATGTATAACAAAAGCAATAAACCTACTACAAAAGGAATAAGCCATTTGAACATTATGTTCTAAAATCAAATCAAATAGCGCGTGCTTCCCGAACTTCCTGTTACACACTCAGAAATCAGAAATCAATATATCTTTATTCAAATTGGATGTATAGTACAACACTTTTGAATCGTCCAAACATTTTTTGACGTGACAACGTCTTAAATTAGGTTGCGGCTGGGAGTCACTTATGAAAAAGTGTAACGCTCGGTAACGTTACGATGAGTCTCTCGTGTTAAGTTTAAGTTTACATGTACAATGTTTTAGTAAACAAAATATATTTCTATAGTTAAAATTTGTGCAATTCTTATTTTCATTCAATTCCTTGTTCCTATTGTGCAATTTAATTATATTCATATCAATAAATATTCTACCGAGAAAAAGACGTTGTCACGTAAAATCTTCGCCCGTAAAACCGACTTTACAGGCAACCATTTTTTTTTTCCCTACCACTCGTTATTGGACATATTTTTTAGCTGCGGAGAAAAACGAGCGAAAAAAACTCCACAACATTAAAAGCATAATGTAACAACATTTACAAATCATTATGTTGTTACAACGTCAATACAATCATGATTTATTTAATATAGAACAGCTGTTGGAATGATTGGAACAGTTCAAACCCAAGCATTTTTGTCTGTAATATAATCAGACACTTTGTAATAAGCTTTTTTAATAAGTGCTTTTTTTATACTATCTTTGAATTTATTTATGCTTAACTCTTGGATATTGCTTGGGACTTTATTGTATAAGCCTTTAAACGAATTATTGATTTTGTGAAGCCTAGTAGCAGGTAAAGTTAGTTTATTTTTGTTACTTGTATTAAGTGTGCGAACATCACTGTTTTTAAGAAACAAATTAATATTTTTTCTTACAAGTAATAAATTTTCGTAAATGTATTGTGATGCGACCGTCATTATACCAAATTCTTTAAACCTATCTCATAAGGAATCCTTAACTTTAAGATTATAAATTGATCGAATAGCTCTCTTCTGCAGCACAATAATAGTTTGACTTCCGTCCCACTTCACTTAATCACTATCACAAATTGCACGAAAGCGAGAGGAAAGATGTTACACACAAAAAAAAGAGTGCTATAAAATAAAATGCTATCGCGGCCGTTACCTCCCTGACACGACAAAACACGACAGCAAAATATATTTCGGGCATGAAGCAGAATGGATCCAAAAATGTTTAAGGGAATTGCCATATGAAAATAAGAATAACCAAAGATTGGGATTGTGTTTAGAAATGTCAAATTGTCAAGCTCGAACAAAAAATTTGGGGGCGTAAAACATTGAAGTAAATCTAGATAATACTAAAAAACCTTTAAAACAGTAAATACAAGCTTTTTGGGAGCAGTAAAATCGTTTTTTTGTATAATGTAAGAATCACTCCTTAATAAATCTTATGGCACTGCCTGTGGGGTGTTTTCCCAGAAATTATTTTTTGTTTCTATTGTAAACAGGTCGTGATAAGGTAGTGTATTTCAACATTTTATTTTCAAATTTCATATAAGCTAGTAAATTCTATTTATGTAGTTTTGTCTCCGTAAAGTATGACTCACATTTAGGTGTATGTTGGGGTTTTTAGCTTGTCTGCATTCTTAGAAAATGGCTGATTTGATTCGCGCTATGGGGGCTCCAATTGGACCCCCTGTAAAGGACAAGTTAGGATCGCCATCTACCGAGTCCGAGGATGGAGGTGGCGATATTGCTGAACTTGCAGGCGATTTAGAAATATATGAACCAAATGGTCCCAATGCTAATGGTAAGCTTGTTAGTCCAAATTTTTGCCTCTTGCATTCTTTGGTTTGTGTTTATTTTGATTAATTACTATTAAGTTTATAATCGATCTTTTTACTTAGCTGTGGAATTGTGTGTTATCTTTTAATATTTTGTACTTTATCAACAAATGTGTAAACAAGCACACACACAACAATCTCCTCAACAGGCACAGTATTTCCTAAAATTAGGAAATTATATTATTTATAAAATATTAATTGTTAAGATATTGTTGTATGTAACATGTATTATTATAATGTTAGGTGAGCGTGAAGCAGTTCTTGCTCCCCCAGAAACTGAGTGGTATCATGGTCGCCTCGACAGATACACAGCAGAGGAAAGACTATGGAAGGCAGCAAATCTTGGGAGTTATTTAGGTAAGAGAAAGAGAAATAGTAACTTATTTTTTTAAATTATTGAATTAGATAAATTTTGTTTAACACCTGTAAAAAACCTGTTATCAAGAAAAATATTATAAATAGATTATTTATTGTATCATGAAATACAACAAACATTTATTATTATTATATATTATTATTAATATTTTTTCCTTTTGGAGTTTTGAAATTGTAATCTGTAAGTCATATTTAATACAAAAGTATTGGATAAATATATTTTTTTATACTAATTTTAGTCCGAGAAAGTGATAGAAAGCCTGGATCATATGTGCTAAGTTATTTGGGAAGGACAGGAATTAATCACTTCAGGTACACAGTAGTATATAATTTGCTTAAAATCTTTTAGACAAAAGCTTTTACATATCTACTGGAAATATGTTTACATCAGTTGATTAATTTCGCAGGATAACAGCAGTATGTGGTGATTACTATATTGGTGGACGTCAGTTTGATTCTTTAACTGAACTAGTGGGCTTTTATAGTCATTGTTCAGATTTGCTAAAGAGGGAGCGACTTGTTGAACCTGTGCCGCCTCCAGAACCAGTCAATGATAAAAAGGTACTTTATTTCTGAAATTATCAGCCTGCTATTGCGTCTCCGGTTATTGTTGTACCATTAGTACCTTTACAAGTATAAAAATTAGGTGTATAACTTTTTGTCAAAATTTGCTTTTAACTGCCCCACTGAATCCAATATTATGAATTATGCAAAGGATTAAACAAGTGAGATCTCATATTAAGTTATTTATAACTTTGTTTTAAACAGAGAGTAGTTGCTATACTTCCATACACCAAGATGCCTGACACTGATGAGCTGACATTTCAAAAAGGAGATATATTTTTTGTCCATAATGATATGGGTGATGGCTGGTTATGGGTCACCGCACATAGGTGAGTTATTTTCTTAACTTACTGATTGCTTGTTGTTTTTATGTGAGTCTGTAAAGTCATGCAACCTAGAAGGGAGTAGCCATAGTGACTTAATTCAAATTGTTCCTCTTTTTAGATTTTATCTAAACTTAACATCACTAAATCCCCATTTCTTTTTTCAAACTCACACCATGCTCTAGAACAGCCACTTTTAAATAGCTGTAGGAAATATTTATACATAGCTAAAGTACAATTAGTACTAGTAGTTTAAACTCGTTTCTGTAGATGCTTAAGTTAAACAAGAAATGATAGAAAGAGATAGGTATATTTTTACCAAACAACATTTTGACAGCAATACAAGATTCTGCACCATGGCGGTTTATTTAGAGCATGTGCTAGTTGTGCCCTCCACACCAAGTTTGTCGATATTTGATTAAGCAGTTCCTGAGATTAGGGCGTTTATCCCAAAAAAGTCTTCAGCTTTATAATTTTAGTAATACACTTTGTCATAGTCCATTGCTCTTAGGGTAACTGTAAATAATATTTATAAAAAAAGTAGTACATACAGAAATTAACACAAGAATTGGAGCATATCTTATAGGAAAGTAACCTCCACCTGCAAGCATACTGGGAGTTCACTGATGAAGAATATCCCAAGACATGAGAGTGTCAATGATTAGAAATAGCACAAATATCTTCAAAGTCATGAAAAACAAATAGAAAAGATTTCAATAGGGATTATGCAATGATAATAAATACCCTAGATACACTAACATGAACGAAATCATGCCTGAAACCTGTCCAAAAGGTACATTGAACAATCCACAGAGCTCTGTAAGATGATCACGTAGTCTAAACAATATAAGGCATTATTTAAACATTGAAAATCACCTTTAAAGCATAATATATAAGGTTTTAATTAAAACGCATGCCTCAAAGAGTTATGACAGTCCGAGATATAAGCTCGTAAAATTATACGGCTTATTGCTATATGCGGAAGAATATAGACCTTATTTCTTTGACTCTACGCGCAATTCTGAATGCTATATTACCGACCATGTTTTTGAATATCACAAATATTTTCTATTAAATCAGTTTATAGTAAATACTAAAACAAAATTTGCTTCAAATGCGTTAAATTAACAAACATTGATAAGATACCTGTCGAAAATACGACATTTTAAATACTATAAGTATTTATTTCGCATTTTTCACGGAGCTCAGCGGCATGTTGACTTTTCAACGCTCTGCACGTGACTGTGAACCAAGAAGTGCTTGAGTCGTGTTCAAGCCCTTGAAAGGTACACATTTTGAGTGCACGCGGTGTATCTAGGGTATATAATATCGTTGGGATTATGACTAAGTGTTTTTCTCCATCTATCAGGTAGAGAGTATCAAAAAGTGTTGGACAAGTATTTGAATGTTCGCATGAAGTCACGTTTTGGTACAACTTTAACTTAGAAGTGACGTCATGTCACGAGCTCTCACTCCCAAACTTTGACGCACTTTATCATTGTCATTTTTTGGTTGATGGACAAAAGAAAAAATAGGTTTTATTTTTTTGATAATCTAACTAGGACTGACTAAATATAATTTCGTTTACTTTACCCCGTCATCATCCCTATTGTGTGCTGTGGATAAGTTTCTTCATAGTAGCTGTAAGTAATCTGTCATATATAAATAAATTATATTTTACAAAAATACTTATTTAAAGAATCCTCTGTCAGAATCAAATTTACAAAATGTACGAGATTGTTTCATTTAGATTGTCAGTAATTGGTATTTAATTATTCCTGATATAATTTTGATGTCATTAAAGTGTTACTAGAAGGTAAATCTCTATATTTTCGTTTTTTTAATATAAAACAAAAACTTAGTGATAGACAAAGGAAACAAAGTGTGTGCCTATTGTTATTACCTTCAAGGCAATGAATACAGGGTCACATTAGCATAATAACAATTATTCACTCGTATAAAACATCTTTGTATTGCTCAGATCTACTTTTAGACGCCTTATATGCTGCTATTATATTTGCAAAATAATATGCATTATAGCTTGCGTAGACGAGGGACTTTTGCCCGCCAAAATAGCTCGCTTATAAGTCGCAGCATGAAACTAGCGCTGACCGTTATTGCGCAGAAGTAAAACTTACGATGTCTTAGGGGGAAACGAGATTCGCGGGTGGGCGTGCTTTGCGCCGATTAGCTCTCTAGTCGTACCCATGCGCAGCTATCCCCTCCGCGTTTTTTTCAGCGCTAGAGTTACGTGCCGCGACCTGTACAACTACATCGATTAACGTACACGATTTATTGAAAAAACCGAGTGCAAAAATTCCCCAAATAACCGAGGACGCTGCGAGACCGGATGGGAAAAAAGGACGCGATAGTCCACAAAAGTAGAACTCATGTGGCAAGGCGCATTACCGCACACAGCGAACTTTAGTCCGCGTTGCGCACTCGATCCGATTGAAAAAGATGAACCCATATTCTCTTTTAAAACATCTTTTCTGTTGCTTAAACTTAATGTTAATTACAACACAACGTAATCTGAGAATGTACACTTCCATAGCATGCGCTTTTAAAAAAATCGGAGGACAAAATATTCACACATCGTTTTCGTTGAGTCCGTGACAAAAGTCCCCTCGTCTGCGCAGGCATTATAGACCAACGGAGCTATTACAATTATTGACTAAATTACGTGCATTTATAATCTCACCGCTGAATCTTATAGGTTTTTGAGTTTGAGCGCCGCCATTCAACTCTCTCCTAACAACTACAATCGATTTTTGAAACTTATAAATAAGTCATAAATATTTTTATAGAACGGGTGAACAAGGAATGATCTTCAGGGAGCTCGTCGAAGATTTGGACCCATCAATCGATCCAAACACTGTCTTCTCATGGTTCCACCCTAACTGTACGAAGAGTGAAGCAGTTGATATGTTGGTCAAAGCTGGTCCCGGTAGCTTTTTAGTTCGACCTTCAGACAACTCGCCCGGTGACTACTCCCTGTTCTTCCACATCAACAACCAAATACAAAGGTTCCGGATAGAAAAAAAGGGAGTGAGATATCTCATGGGAGGTAGAACGTTTGAATGCCTCGATGCTGTCATTAATAGATATAGGAAGGAACAGATTGTGGAAGGACACACGTTGGGTCAACCGGTAAGCCTTTTTTTATGTAAGGGTCGGTGCCTATGCCTGTACTGGACAGAATGGGATTTTATGTGATGATTTAACTCAATTACTTAAAAGTGTGACTGTACAAATTATTTATTTAATACTATAATTTCCATTCTGTATGGCGATTGGGAATTTCTTTTTTTTAATGTATATGTACTTCCTGCTCTATAAGGTTTAAATTTCAACGATAAACAATATAAATAAAACAACAGGGGGTGCCGGCTCTTGATTGTAAACATAAATTAATTAAATATTACCTAAGATCCAAAGAAGAAGAAGGCATGGCTTAAAATGTTCTTTCCAAATTGTCATACAGCTCATCGCCGAAGGTCATGTAATAGAACCGCAACAGAATGCTACAGGAGCTGCGGCTGAGAAGATATATGCGACCTTGCGTGAATGTAGGGATCAAATCGGCCTGAAGAAGATGAAGGGTATCAAACACCAGGGGTACTTGAACAAGAAATCGGATAAGGTGTCCAAGAAATGGAAGGCTTTATACTTCGTGTTGTTACAAGAAGGGACTGACACGCATTTGTATTTCTACGATTCGCCGAAGAGGACCAAACCCAAGGGGTTGATTGACTTGTCTTGCGCCTATCTATATCAGGTAATTTATAAGAGTTCGTTGCTTTTAAGTTTACTCTCTAGTATAGTGGAACAGGTTGATTCCAGACATGCGTACCCAATAATATATTAGACAAGTAAGTTTTCTTCTTTTTAGAATTCAACGATGTATTAAATGCCCACGCTTTGAGTACACTATAACTGTTCCAAAGTTTAATGAAATTAGAACTTTGTCATCAACACAGTACGTTAATTAGGTTTTAGATAAAGAACTGAAAAAAATTATCTTTTAAGTTTTTTTTGAACTCTGAAGTTTCCAATTTCAGCACCTCTTTGGTAACTTTACTTATGTCAATCAATATCTTTTTGTGGTCACTGTAACTCTTCGAATTTGCACTTTTAACATTTAACATCATCTAGAGTAGAGTCATTTTTCAAACTCTTTATTTCTTATGCGTACACACAATCCAAACACTTTTAGAACGGGAATCAAATCTATAGCGGGAGGAAATGAAGCTTGTAAATGGAGCGAAACGTCAAGATAAATTCAAGAAATGTAATAAATCGGGCTTTTTACCAGTTCTATTATAAGACCTTTGTCAACAGGTGCACGAATCGTTGTGGGACAGAGAGTTTTGTTTCCAACTGGTGGAGAGAGCTCTGCCTTGTTTGTCGACGCATACTTTCTTAGCGGCTAACACCGCGACTGAGGAACGCGCTTGGCTTGATGCTTTGCGGCCATTATGCGTCCCGCAGCAAGCACGCCATCAGAGCAAGGTATGAGATGGTATTGATTTATTATATTGCTTCTGTCCCGCGTAAACAATTAAATCCTTTCTAGCCACATTGGTAGATTTGTGTGTAATATTTTCTTGTAAAATTTATATATTATCTTATTGTTTTGTATTAAACTCATAAGTATATATAGTCTGTTTGTATTTTGAAATTAAAAGAACTTTTCCAAGTCGATGAAATCTCATTGAAAACTCGCCCTTGTTTTTAAACAAATTTTAAATGAAAAACAGTAACATAGTGTATGTTACTGCTTTTCATTCGTCTTAATATCTGTACCTCTTTCGTATTTTATAATAGACTGTTGGCGGGTCGTAGGTATTTTGTCTTCCTATGTTCGATAATATATCCTGTTATTCTTTATTTATGCCACTAGGTCAAGGTCAAAGTAAAAATCTCTTTATTCGGATTGGAAGCATAATACAACTCTTTTGAATCTTTTCGCCCTGGGTAATCAATCTTGCAAAAAAAACTTCACAGCGATAAATTATTTAACAATATTAAGGTGGCGCGCGTAGTATGGCTTCGTGCATTACGCGTGCGATGCCTCACAGCGCATCGCTTGCCGGGTCGTCTCGCCCCGCGGCCTTACTTGCGGCTGTCGTTGGGTGCCGCGCCTGTTGCCCGCACCCGTCCCCGACCCTCGCCCGACCCACACTGGGACGACGAGTTCGTGTTCGAGTGAGTAGTTATATCCAGTAGGTGGTGATCGCATAGCTATGTGCATTGTCTCATAGAACATCGCTTGCCGGGCCGCCTCGTCCCGCGGCCTTATTTGCGGTTGTCGCTGGGCACCGCGCCTGTAACCCGTGACCCTCGCCCGACCAGCACTGGGACGACGAGTTCGTGTTTGAGTGAGTAGTTATATCCTGTAGGTGGTGAACGTATAGTTACATGCGTTGTCTCATAGAACATCGCTTGCCGGGCCGCTTCACCCTGCGCCTTTACTTGCGGCTGTCGCTGGGCGCCGCCCGCGACCCTTGGTCGACCCGCACTGGGACGACGAGCTTGTTCGTGTGAGTACTTACATTGTTTGGTGGCGCTGGTGTTTAAGGACGTGTGTGGCAATAGGGAATAGTTTACATTCCCTTGATAAAGTATAAATATATTCAACGTCCAAAAAATAGTATAATACAAAAAAAATAGCCACCTTGCAGGGGCATTTGAAACGCTCGCTATTTTGGAACACTTCTTGGATGCGCGCGCAATACGCACTCGCACTAGATCTCGTTGACTTTGACATATTCTGTGAACAAAGCGCTTGTTTGTTGAGTTGACTTGTAACGAGAGACTTCTACGTCACAAGCGCTCTGCCGCGTTTCAAATGTTTAAAATTTTCACAGGTTTTTAGAACTTTACAATAATTAAATTACAGCCCAAAAGGAAATATTATTAAAAAAAAATTATGAAATTAATAATTTATAAAAAATAAAAAAAAATACCCTTATTTGAATAAAATGCATATTCCCTATGATACACCTCTTGGCTCGCGATCCTAGCTGCAACTGGCGCTATTACTTGCCCGAACCCGAACTGGGACGACTTTCTGGGTGGCATTCCTAATGCAATTTCGTGTGTTTGTGTTGAAGTGGGTGGTGACATGCTCTAGGAGGCTTTTATAAATGAAGTTGACAAGACAAGATATTATCGCTGGGCGTCGCGCCTGTCAATCGTGCCTGCCTGCTGGATGACGAATGAGTAGTACGGTAAAGTGCGACTCAAACTTATTGTTGGCTATGAAGTAAGCGCAAGTAGCGGAGCATTTGACAAATATTTGGTGCAAACGGGACTACAGTAACTGAAACCAGCGCATAACAATTGCGCTCGTTGCTAACTTAACACACACGACCGCCATAAAGAATCGAACCTTTACCCCGCAGGCAAGGACTCAATTAAGCGGTTTACCTATACACGGCGTGAGCTCCCTTGCTTATTAGCGGTTGACATAACACTCTTCCCGGTACTGGCTTGGTGAGCTTACGTTTAAGTGGCGCACGTATTGTGATTGGGTGATATAAATCAATAAAATAAAAATGAAAAATCTTGATTTACCGTAATTATCTGAATTAAATGAACATTGTTTACAGCGATGTCCCGCCAGATGTTACTTCATTCACTATCACAGTTCATAACACTGGAAAAAGGGGAAAGGAATCGGAGGTAAGTTAAAATTTATGGTTTTGATTTTTTCTAATGCTGTTTTAGTACGCTTTTAATAGAGAACAATGTGTTACTCTTTCAACCCGAGTGGGCTAAAGGATTTATTCTGTGTGTAAATAAAATAGTAAACAAAACAAATAATCAGCACTTTAATGATGACTAAATATATTTATTTGTTTATTCAGAGAAGCTATATATTGATAAAAATAAATTTAGCACTTAAATCTGTTCTCATGCTTTCCACGTGTTTTCTAAATAATTATACATATTGCTACCTGGGCCCCGCGTTTTCACCCGTGTCAATTTAAGGGAAATACCTACTACTCTTTCCTTTCACTTGTATACAGGTGTTACAAAAATACAAATAAAGCTTGAAGGGCGTTGAAGTACATCATATAAGGAGTCTTCTCTAATTTTCTTAAAATATTTGCATGAAGTTTAAACTTTTTATAAACACAGTTATTTTTAATGATCCTCGAACTAGTGACGTGTCTTAAAATATCTATAATTTTATTAATCATTAAAAATAACTGTTTTTATAAAAAGTTAAAACTTCATGCAAATATTTTAAGAAAATTAGAGAAGAGTCATTACCCTTCAAGCTTTATTTGTATTTTTGTAACACCCCGTATAATTAATCCAAAAATACTTTTTGTTTTAATTTTGTTATACTGAAGGTGGCTGAGCTGACGATAGAATTGGCAAACTTGGCTAACGGGGAAGAAATAGAAGAATGGTACCCTTTGGCGGGCATGACTCCTATAGGCGAATGGGGCTCTTTGAGGCTGCGTATCAGGTAATATAAACAATAATTTTAGATTAATACTTAATGGAATGGAAATTTACTATTAGGTATTTTATGTTGCTTTGACAGCATTACCTCCTCCCAAAGAGTACTACCAACCTCCTCTGATAAGGTTTTTTAAGGGCTTTAATAATTTTCGATGACTATTGTCTATCGATTTATATTGTTAACTGATGAGGTACTGTTTTATTGAGTCCATTGATTTTTTTTATATAAACGTCCACGCCCCAGTAGTTTTATTTCACTTCATATTCAATAGGATATGGTTACAATCGATTGGATGTATTTGTCATTTAAAGACAAATTTATTCCCCTTTATTTGTTTCCATATGTAAGCATCAGTAATTGCATCTTTTTCTGTATTAAATATGAAAAATTCAGCTTGTTATGCTGATGCCGATAAAGTCATTATATATTTTAATGGAAATATTTTGTAATGACAGATATATGCAAGAGTTGGTGATGCCTCGCGAGGAGTATAATCCTCTACGGCAACTGTTGTTGGAGCCGGGCTTACCGGCCGTCAAGGCACTGGCAGATCTTTGCCGCACGGACAGACAACCTTTAGCTACTTGTAAGTAAATGCTTTTAATTTCCTAAAGTTTTGTTAAAAAATACCCTCACGATCTTTAACTATTGCTCAAGCTGGAAGCTCCTATTGTTTCGTTTGTTTATAAACAAATTCATAATAATAGTATTATTTTCAATACTTTTCTTCTTGAATAAAAAAATATATTCACTGATGCTAAATGTGCTGTACGGAATAAAGGATCGTTCTTAGAGCGCGTTTTTCAATTTACACACTTCAAACAGACTTTATAATTTATTAGCATTTGGTTGCTTCTTTTTTCATATGCACTTTTTGACTCCCCATTATTACGTAATGTTGAAACACAGTTTGAGAGCTAATAACAAAGGAATTTATACTTGGTAAAGAATGAATGAATATATTCTTTATTGCGCTATTACACACAATACAGAGAACATAAAACACAGAAACCCTTAACTTACCCTAGGATACAATACATATATAAGTATATTTTTATTTAGAAATACATATGAAACATCCATGACTGAAGTACAAATGCTCGTATTCATCACACAAACATCTGCCCCCACCGGGATTCGAACCCGGGACCTCTCGAGTCGGCGACACCATGAAACCCGGCGTACAAACCACTCAACCACGGAGGTCGTCAAATTATATCATCATATTGCTAAGGTAGCAATCTCTACCAGGCAACCTTTGGCTAAATGAAACCATACCATAAGAATAGTGGAAACAGCGGGCTAGTGCATTGTTAATAGTTATTTATTATACAAGAGTGGAAAGTTCCTTTTTAACCGCGTGCTCGATTTGGATGACCGAGCAAGCGAAGGATTCTAAAGTTGAATCACGAGCGCAGCGAGTGATTCTAAATTAGAATCCTGAGCGTCAGCGAGGGAAACAAACGAGCACAAGGTGAAAAATCTTTCCACTCGAGTGCAATACGTAACTTTTCATCCCACCTCAGCGAGGAAATGACAAAATGAAAAAGAAAACAATTTATAATGACAAAATATTTAAGCAATAAAACGTGAAAAACTAGAATGGCGCGAAGCACGCAAATAAAACAAAGAAACCAAGAAGGTTCCAAATTTAAATTTTTTCACAATTTAAAAAGTTCTAATCATAAATTTGGCACCATAGAGGTTACATTAAATAGGTTTAATGACGTTTTGAATTTACAATTATATTGAGTACTCATTATATGTGATGTTCTAAATTCAAATCTACTTTGCCGCTCAAGCGAATAAAATAGAATTTTCCAGCCAGATTTCGAAGCGCAAAATTACACTTTACGAGGTGGTGGGATGAAAAATAAATAAATAAACATAAATATAATAATATACAATATATATATAAAGCTATTAGTATAATATATAATATAAAGCTATTAGTGATATGCATAATATTTATACTGAAACAGCAATATTGCACGCGTTCACGGAATGCGGTCGCGGCGCGGAGTTAGCGCGGGAACTAGTCAGTGCGGAGTTAGCTCGCGAAGCGGACCCGCGCGCCATGTTCCGCGCCGCCTCGCTCGCCACCGCCGTCGTGGACGAGTTCATGCGCGGCCAGTGCAAGCCTTTCCTGCAGGCGAGTACACTACACACTGGTGCAGCTAGCGCGTGAAGCGGACCCGCGCGCCAACTTTGTTTTTTGTTCGTTGGGTCGGGTCGGAGTCGGGTTTCAAGTGCTCAACAATGGGGTCATTCATTAGTTTGTTTACATAAGTGGACAACTTAGATATATGATTCTCGGAATCTACCCGAGTTTTCGTTTATTTTAGATCGTAAAGTGCGTAACGTAGTGTAAATTTTGGGCATCTCAAAAAAATATAATGTATTTGCCTTAATTTTTGTACGTGACTGATAGAAAATTTATCAATTAGTAAATTCTCGTTCACGCAATGATAATTAATGGTTTGGCTACAGCGTAATTTATTTATTTTTATCGAGTCGGAGCCATTTTGACTTGAGCCGCCATTTCGTGAATAGATGACGTATGATGACAGTATCAAATTTCGCTTCCTGTATTGAGAGGGGTTAAAATGTATGTTTAATTTACAGGCAGCAATATCGGAAACAGTGCAGAAGCTTATAGACGCCAAGCAGTCCGCTGAACTGAACCCCACCAAAATGGACTCCCCTGACGATGCTTGTAACAATGCTGAATTTCTGCTCATGATACTTGACCAGGTAATCGTATAGAAGTTACATATCTTTCTAATTTTACGGTAATGTGGCTACATTGGCAATCATGTTACAGCAAGTTTTAGTATAATCTGCTTTTAAGCTTTATAACCAAACGTTGATTAAAGTTAAGTGTATCATTAAAGAAAGGAGTCGAAAATGCCGACGCATGACGTTCTGTCGCTCTCGGACGTTACTTAGCATAGCATGTGCGAAAGGGTCAATTTCTTACATCATCATTTGCGCTTCCTTTCTTTAATGATACGGGTTATACTTTTGTATGTAAAAACTACGACAGATTTCTTATTACCACAAAAAAGTTTAAGACAACTTTAAGAACAAAAAACATACAAAATTTACCTAAACAAGGTTTTATTTTTTTGTAGTAAGGCCGATTGAGTTTACGCCTAACTTAAGTATTCATCCCGGCAAACTTCTTGAGCAACGACCATAGACAAGGTAGCCTGCGCAGTAGCAATTTTACTTACTAAAACGTCTACTGCGCAAGTTTATTTGTATGTGGTATACATGTTTTGGGATATTAATAGAGGTATAAGAAAAGAGTGGGGAAGGCGGCTCTAAAAGTGTCCGTCTAGTAGAAAGAGAAAGAAGATGAGAGACCGCTAGCTATCTCTCTCTTGTGACGCATGGCATCCAAAGGCATCAGATCGAAATAGTAAGATGCTTACGGTTGCCAATGCGCATGCGCGATTAGAGAGAAAAGCTAGCGGTCTCTCATCTTCTTTCTCTTTCTATTAGAGGGACACTTCCACTTGTAGTGGAGTCTATATTTCCTTTACTCTATTCTTATACCTCTATGGGGATAATGCATCATAAGCTTTTGTTCCAATGTGATTTGGTTTATTTTTAGATTACATTGTCAATTTTCACTTCGCCCGAGGCGTGTCCGCGACCAGTGCGGTACTTGTGCGGTTGTCTACAACGAGCGGCGGTCGCCAAATGGCCGAACGAGAGATTCGTGCGGACTAGAGTTGTTTCAGGTTCGTATACTCTCACGATCGAGAAGCTCGATGGCGCGGGTGGTTTTTGATGTGTAACATATTTCCTCTCGCTTTCGTGCAATTTGTGGGAGTGATTACGTGAAGTGGGACGGAAGTGTGTAACAGGAAGTCGCAAAAGCACGCGCTATTTGATTTGATTTTAGAACATATTTTTATTTATTACATTTTAAAGTTGATGATGGGTTATGTTATATTGTGATGTAGAGGATTCGATAGCTGGTAGAGTAGGCCCATCAGAATCCGAGGCTGCGTCGAGATGCAGCCAGGGAGGTCAAATGGGTGGGAAAGACAGGGAGAGGAGAGGACGGTTTAATAATAGTGAGAGGCGAAAGGAAGAGTGGAGGAAACGAAGCAGAAAATAAATAAAAGGTATAAATTATGAGAGTAAGAACAGTGTAAGAGATGAGGTTTAACAATCATGCATATCAATGCATTTGAAATACAGTGGCGCGGGTCGGTAGCGCGTTCGGCTCCGATCGTTGAAGTTATGTAACTTTCGTAGCGGCTGGTCATTGGATGAGTGGCCAAAATCTTTTATCTCGAGTTTTTACCGTGCTTCGAAAGCATGTTAAGCCGTTGGTCCCGGCTGCATCTGCAGTAATTAGCACCCGCTGTGATGTTAAATTCCCCTCCACAGCTCTTTACTAGCTTACTCAGAGCACCGGGGGAACAATAAAAGAAAACCAAAAAATTAAGATAATGTTATAAGTATATTTTATCCACTTTAGATACCAAAGCATAGGAATTCAGTAGTTTTAAGTTATTGCTTATATAAATCAACAAGTCCAACTATGTTTATTATTTATATAATAACTATGTTTCACTAATTATAAATATCTAAGCTGAATACAGTAGTTCAAAGTTAATGTGTATATAAACCAACAAGTTGTCAGGAAAGGTTATAATTATAAGAATATCAGACATTCATAACACTTTACCATGTACTTACAATATAATACTTACTAATATTTTTTTTTTTATCCACAAATACCACATAGACTATACTGAATAAGCTATTTAGTGGATTTCAGAGGTTCTACGGCTCGTTTGATCGATATTGGTGACAAACTTAGTTAATTCTAGTTCTCAGTGAGATAACCAGTTATATAGGTATATGTAAATATATGGAAATGGGCAAGTCGGGGTCCAACCTCGCCTGTTGTTTCCTTTTCACGTTCACCCGGGGTTAGTAGAGAAATACCTTGATTATGATAGGTTAAGCTGTGTATAATCTGTCTGCTGTTCGGCCGGGTTACATAAAACCGGAGAGCGGCTGGCAAATAAACTCCCGCGCCCCTTCTGGTCCGTGCACAGAACAAAAGTCTCCTTGTTAGTCCTCCAGTATTTCTTGAGGGGAACGTACAAGCCTGAAGTTCACATTGAAAAAGAATGATCAGATATGGGGAAAATACATGGATTACCACATCTGTGGTGGGTGAGGGAGTGAGGGATATTCACGGTCAATGTTTACACTTTAAAATTTGAATCACTACAGAACTGGGGGGCCGTCCCACCCGGTTTGAAGAAAATCAATTCCACGTTCACTAACTTGACAAGAATGATTAGGTATATTTGATGACAAGAATCACTATATTGTGCATAATGCAGTTCAATTAGTGCTAGGAGAATAAATATGAGGTCAGAGGATAGCTTACCGTTCGAAATATGAAACTATCCGTAAGTATTTTGTTTCCTATCACGAGTTACCGCCTTATTGTTGCAATTGCCTTGCGAAGGTTCGTGTTCGTCCACCTACGATACAGAATATCAACAGAAAGGTTATTTTCACAGCCCAAACTTGCAAATTATGTAGGAAAAGAGAGCCACTCCAATATACCCACGCAACTCAGTTCGGTTAGCGACTCCGCGCTTTTTCCGCCAATATCCCTCGGGATATAAACTTTTCGGATCTATCTCACGACTTCGACGACAATAATATGCCGTTTATTATACTTTGGGCAGAAGAAAAGATGAAAAGTTAACTGTACCACAAACAGATTGTGAAATTTTAAAAGTTGTTTTGACAATTGCTCATAGATGATAGACGGATCGGCTACTCCCAAACATGTGTCTATGATTTGTTTCCCACTTCAACTGAAGGCAAAGGCCACAGTCAAACAGACAGCCGCCGCATTCGAGACGAACCGAAGAATAAACTCAAAACTATATACCTACGCTCGCCGTAAGCTGAGGAAAAGGGAATACCTACCCGAATCAGCGAGGAAATTCAATTTCGAGTAAAATTCAAAATCGATTAAAAACAGCACCCGATAATGAGGACTCAAATCGATCTGGGAAAGACTATTCAAAATTCAACAACTGTCAAACTCCATCCATTCATCCACGCGCCCCCACAGAGATTCCCCGCCTGATGACTTTTATAAGTCTCAAGGCGAATATTTTAGTCGAATAGGAAAATCGACTCTTCCCTCAAGGCTACCAACCCAATCAATGAAGTTTGACAGCTACGCTGACGTAAGCGGTTCGCTATCATAGACAAAACAGCTGTCTTACGTGTGTCAGTGTCACGCTCTGTTTAAAAACAAACACTACAGTATCCCCCCACTCACGGCAGAATTCACGTAGGGAATTCGTCGAACGCCCTCGTTCGTATATCCCCATGTCTTATGTACTTTAGTTAAGATATGATTAGGTTATGTTGTATAAAATAATAGAATATTATAAACCGCTAAGTTAAGAAAAAATAAACATACAGAACGATAAATCATTGATAAATCTCTAAGTTGTAACAAAAATAGATAATAATAAATGACAATAGTAACACAAAGTGTATACCACTCAAGGCCGTACCGCAAGCATCTTTGCTCCGAAAATAGATATAATCATTATAATGTTACCAGTTATACCGAGAAAAACATAATGGTAGAAAATTAACCAAACAGATGTTATTGGTCAAAGGCGATTTGCTCACAAAATTGCATGTTGTGTGTTCGTCCATCGTGTGTCTCATTTACTGTCTCCCGAGAGAAATAAAAAAAATATCATAAATATTCTATGCTCATCATAGGATATTATGATAAAAGTTGTTGTTAATACGTTTTCATTTGTATTAGCAACTTCAATAAAATGCCTTGGTAGGTAAAAAACTAACAAGCACATTAACAAAACCTTCTCCTGGAAAAGTTAAGAGACAATTAAGTGTTTAAGCATTAATTAGGTGGCAAACAAAGAGATCACACTATCGGGGACGAACACACACATGGGTATCTAAGATGCAGGGTGATACCAAGACCCATTGACGATTTCTACGTCACGCCGGGCAGAAGGCGGAATGGGTATTCGTCGGCCGCCACATCCACGGCGATAAGTCCCTACCTAAATATCTATTCGGGGTCAGCGCTTTTGAAATCTTTTATATGCCATTTGCCTACATACTTCCCGTTTTCGTCTTCGAGCTCGTAAACGAGGGGGGAGAGTCTACGGATTATTTTGCAACGTTCATATTTCGGTGCAAGTTTGACTGAAAAGTATTTATGAGCCGCGCTTTGTTTATACGTCCGTTTCCAAATGTAATCGCCTACGTTAAAGGAAATATCCCTACGACGCCTGTTATAATATTTAACGTTCCTATCGTGGGCTTTTCGCAGTGAGTCCTTGACCTCTTTAAAGATTTCACCTAAATGACCCAGATTAGACGCATGAGTATCCCGGGGTACTATCACTAACTCGTCAAGATCGTTGAAACCGGCATAAATACTACCATCGGTGACAGCCTCCCTACCATGAACTAACATAAACGGAGTATATGACGTGGATTCGTTCACAGAGGTGTTCATAGCGAACTGGATCTTATGAATATTCACGTCCCAAGATCTATGGTCATTTTCAACGAACGAGGCCACCGCAGTGATGACAGTACGGTTATAACGTTCGACAGTGTTAACCTGAGGGCAATACACAGGACCCAAATGGACTTGTGGTATATTATATTTGGCATACAAAGATTGAAGTTCATGGCTTACAAATTGCGATCCGTTATCGGAGATCACGGTTTGAGGTATACCATGAATCAAAAAGACATGATCCTCCAGTCGCTGAGCAATCACCCTACCCGTAGCTCGACGTAAAGGAAATAATAAACAATATTTTGTAAAGCAACACACTACTACCAGCAAATAGTTGTTTTGCTGTCTGGACATCGGCAGTGGGCCAACTAAATCGATGCTGATGCACTGGAATGGCCGACAGCAAACTTTAGGTTCTCCCATGAACCCAGGAGTCGCCAGTGAACTGTGTTTGTATGCGTTGCAAACCGAGCAACCCTTAATAAAATCCACGGTATCCTTATACATACCGGGCCAAAAATATCTTAATTTTAAACGTTTATAAGTTTTTGCCACACCAAGATGAGCCGCGATTGGTTCAGAGTGGTTCTGTTTAATTATAGATTCCCTACTCTCAATCGGGATAACCTGTTTCCACTGGTAATCACCACTGAGCTTATTACTACTTTTTGTGAAACGGTATAACCTACCATCAACTATCTGAAAATTTGGACAAGCTCTAGGTTTGTCCGTACAACGTTTAATTATATTATTATACCACGAGTCGGCTGTGGCGTCAGTGATACCTATAGATGCCACGGGAACAGAGCGGGATAACGCGTCAGGTACCACATTTTGTGAGCCACTGCGATGTTCTATTACAAAATTATAGGGTGATAATCTACAACCCCAACGCGCCAAGCGACCGGTCGGATTTTTAAGCTTCAGAAACCATTTTAGACTAGCATGATCGGTAATAACACGAAATGGCCTACTACCCTCCAGATAGGGACGGAAATGCTCGACTACATGTACCACAGCTAAAGCTTCCCGCTCGGTAGCCGAGTAATTTCGCTCGGCGTGGGTAAGTGAGCGACTACAATACGCGACCGGATGCTCCTGGCCGTCTACGGTTTGGGTGAGGGTACCTCCAATGCCAAAATTGGACGCATCGCAATGAACTGCAAATTCCTT